CAAAAAAAAATTATTTACTAAGTTCCAAAAAATATACATTACTTTAACAGCTTAAAGAGTTGTTAACATGCTGGAATTCATTATTCTTAACTCGAAGATGTATTCATTAAAAAAAATTCCCGTGCAATATGAAAGTTAATTTATAATTCAAATCTCATTGTATACCTTTTAATTTCGGATATATTTTTTTAATAAATAAATGATAAAATTAATTTAAAATAATTGACCGAAATTACTGTATGTAAAAATAACAAAGTGTACAGACATGAAACAAAATAAATCGAAATCACTTACGTACGTTTATCACTTGTAAACAGTAGAAAAGGATATACATTTTGTTGGTGTCCCCCTTTAGACGAAAAAGCTTTTAATTTTAATTTTTATTAAGAAAAATAAATGTTCCTGTAAAAATTAAAAACATATATTGTTCTCTTCTAGCATTTTTATTTGTATTTTTTTTTTTTTTTTTTTGATAGAAAGATATCTTCTTACATTTTCTCAAAATAAACCGATTCAAATGTTCAAAAAGTGACTCCTTTACCTGTACTTACATAATTTTTCAAAAAATAAAAAATAATCCGTAAAATTGGTGTACTATAAAACCCATTGCATATTATATAAATATGTCTATATTACAGAAATGATTTACGTAAAACAATAAGGTGTACCTACAAATATGTAAACTTTAATTATCCCTCTAAAACATCAGCAAAATATTTTGGAAATTGTTTTCATTCACAAATATTAATTTCTTAAAAATCTAAGAGAGGCGCCACTTGCCAGACGAAAAATCTTGCAATGTAAGGGTTTCGTAGTACCCCACTTTTAAAGTTTATTTTTAAGTATTTTTAAAAGAAAAAAACATGTACGTGTAGATAAAGGTTAAATCTATGCTCCTCTGGAACAACTTTTTCAAAATTCAATTTAGTTTTTTCTAAAAAAAATTCAGAAAACGGATCAAAAAAGTCGAGTTTTGTGTTTTTTTTTTTTTAGAAAAAACAAATTGAAATTTTGAAAAAGTGTTTCCAGAGGAGCATAGATTTAACCTTTACCTACAGGCACATATTTTTTTCTTTTAAAATATGTCAAAAATAAACTTTAAAAGTGGGGTACTACCAAACCCTTGCATGCTCTGCTCTAAAGCCAAGTAAATACTCCTCTTATGAATAATAAAAAAGCTTTCCATAAGCCGTCAACTGCCTACGTTAAGTTAGCGGCAAATGGAAAACTTTTTTATTTAATTATTTTTTGGAAAAAGTTATTTTTAATAAAAAGTTCTGCATTGTCTTAAACTTAAAATACAACCACCAGATATCACTCTATAAGTGGACAAAGTGTGTTGATTATGAAAAAAATCTAATAAACAATGGGGGGTTTAAGGGGAGTTAAAACTTTAAAAAAGCATAAATCAAAACCAAAACATGATATCAACATGAAGTTTTTTTAGAAAAACCAAGCTCTATAAGAAGACATTTTATCAGTCGAATACGAGGTTGGTCAAAAATAAAGGTTAAGCAAAATCATATTTTTTGACAAACCTCGTATACCATTGATTCAATTTTAAAACATTGATACAATTTGAAAACATGCAAGACTTTTTATGAAGAATAACTGTTTTTCATAAAACCAATAGTAAAAAAGTTTTCGATATGGTTCCAATTTAACTAGACACATAGTTTATAATAATATATATTCTTAGAAAAATACTGTGTGCTTTGCTTATTTGGAATATAGCTCATAGAGCACCTCGATTTTGTTTGTTGTTTCTATTAATAACTGAGAATAAGCAATTGCTTTTCTATTTAACTATTTTTTCATGTATTACTTACAATTACAGAGATAGCCTGTTCACTACAGTTGACTTCGGATTGTAGAATATTCAAAAAATTATCTTCGAAAGTTACAAATAATATTTAATTTAAGGATATAGTGAAATTATTGGAAATAAAAGCATATAAGTTTAAAAAAAAACGTTTAATATTTAAGTAACAATTTCCTAATAAAAGGAGTAAAAAAATAAATGATAAAAATGTAATGAGAAAATAAATGAGCACACGGAAAAATAATAATAATCATGGTGAACAATATGAGAACATTTTTTGGAAGAGTGGTCAGCAATGAGCCTATCCTAATCTTAATAAGTATTTAATACAAATTTTCTTTTAATTTGACTTACAAAGTGACATTTTTGTAATCGCAGCGAGTGTCCAAATGATCTATCTACTTTGAGTTACATAAAGTTGAACATAATGTAACTGGTTATGTCATAAATATGTTCATGATTGTGAAAAGAAAATAAATAAAAGAAACCTTTTTTTGAATAATTTATAATATTTCAAGTGCCTAAAAATAGCCTAAAAATATGGTGTAGTTGTTTTTAGAAAAAAGCTTTAAAAAACCAAGGTGCTCTGCTGGATTCGTTCAAAGCTAGCAAAGCACTCTGTATTCTTTAAAAAATATATTTTTTTTAAAGTTATATAAGGAGCTTATATTAGGAGCCTAAAAATAGCTTAAAAACGTAGCATAACTAGTTTTCTGAAAAAAATAATAATAAACCGAGGTGCTCTGCTGACTTTGCTCCAACAAAGCACCCTCTATTATTTAAAAATAGCAATTTTTTAGTAAAGTTTTATAATATTTCAAGAGCCTAAAAATAGCCTAAAAATGTGTTGTAGTTTGTTTTTAGCAAAAAAGCTTTAAAAAACCGAGGTGCTCTGCTGGATTCGTTCGAAGGTAGCAGAGCACCCTGTATTTTTTAAAAAATACATTTTTTTTAAAAAGTTATATATGGTTTTAGGAGCCTAAAAATAGCTTAAAAACGTAGCATAACTAGTTTTCTGAAAAAAATAATAATAAACCGAGGTGCTCTGCTGACTGCTCCAACAAGGCACCCTTTATTATTTAAAAATAGCAATTTTTTAGTAAATTTTTATAATATTTCAAGAGCCTAAAAATAGCCTAAAAATGTGTTGTTTGTTTTTAGAAAAAAGCTTTAAAAAACCGAGGTGCTCTGCTGGATTCGTTCGAAGCTAGCAAAGCACCCTGTATTTTTAAAAATAACAAAATTTTTCGAAGTTTTATAATATTTTAAGAGCCTAAAAATAGCCTAAAAATATGGTGTCGTTGGTTTTGGAAAAAAGCTTTAAAAAACTAAGGTGCTCTGCTGACTTCGTTCGAAACTAGCAGAGCACCTTGATTTTTGCAAAAAAACGAGGAGCATCAATTTTTTTAATAGGGTATAAAAATAGCTTTAAAATGTGGCATTTGTTTCAACTCAAAATTCCCGAGGTGCTTTGATGCCTTCTTTGGCATAATGAAATATGCTAACAGACAGAGGGGTCTATTCTGTAAAAATTCCTTTATATTTAACGGCCTTTAAAAACATTTTCTTCTTTAATTCGGTCACTATTTAAACGGATCTTTAAAATACATTAGAGGACTATCTTAAAGAAATCTGTTTAAATAATGATAGAAGTAAATTAACGAATACGAACATGTTTTTATAGGCCGCAAATATTTTTAAAGGCCGTTAAATATAAAGGAATTGTTACAGAATAGACCCCAGAATAGGTTAATTCTTCAAAGACAACTTATTAGACTTAGGCAACTTTTCATACATTTTCCCGTAAATACTGTTGCCTGCCTATATTTTAATATTGATTTTTTTTATTATACTTATTTTTTTTTAATTTAAGCGATAAAAATATATAATAATAATAAATTAATGGTTTACTTGTTTTACAAATCCATTTACTTTTATTAAAACTAACATATATACTTTTTAATTACGAATTCTAATAAAAATTGTAATGTCAGTAGTCGCTTTCTTTTTACCACTAATCTGAGCTAACTTAGATCGTCTAGGCTTAACGTTCTTTTTGTGATTGTAAGTCAGAATCTTTCTTCCCCCCTTACCGATGCTAAGGTGCACGGTACTTGACGTCAACCATAAACCATCACAGAAAGTGAGTGTTCTGTGCATCATATGAACAAACATATCCCATGAATTCATTATTTTAGAGAGAATAAAAGACTATGATAACAGGGAGTGAGATTTGTAGTGTTGAATGTTGAAAAAATTATAAAATTTGATTAAAATATGGATTGTTTTTAAACGGATGACATGGGGCACGTCACCTGTCAACCAAAATTCGCGTTCTTTTTACTGTTAAGCTTAGATCAGAATCTAACTTTTAGTTAGTCAAGTATGCTTGTAAAAAGAAAACGACTAATATACTCAGAAATGGTCCATTAGTACCTAAATGAATTGGCGCTGCTGTCACGCACGGAACGAATACTGGGATATCAAGCCCCATGCATGATAGTCGATATGAGATTTGTAACGATGTTCCCCAGCAACACCGTTCTAGGGACGCCAATGGTTCAGCATGCAGCCGTTTTTGTCTAGCAGAGACAAGTATATCAAGAGCGCCGAATTTAATTCTCGTCAGTCGAACTAAGGTATTGACTTAGCAAGACTTTCCTTTCCTGCTCCTGCAGAGGTATTGACACTGTAGGCTTCCCGACGTCCCGACCCTTACCTGCAAAGCTACTTTGTAGGTTTTCCTTTCCCGTGAATCTATCCCACGAAGGTATTGACTTCGATGGACTTCCATCACCGTAAAGGTAACCTAAGCTCTTGTCACATTTTCGCCACACCATCCTGAACCGACGCACAAAATATATTTTGGGGAACAACATTTGAAGACACGACGATTCGAAATTTAGTTAGAACCTTTTCATGTACATATTGTAAATATTGTTATCTGTATATAAATTGTTAGAATAAAGTTTTATTTACAAAGAACTCTGTCTCCGACTGTCTAAAATCTACCTGCTACCGGAACAAACCCCAGGAGGTTACAGATTTATTTAGTTCTGATTGGTTCTGACGATAACCTAAATTGCGATGTGATTGGTTAAAATGTCAAAGTTGATAGGCGAGGGAAATAATTACTTCAAATTGTGACTGTACGATAAAATATAAATAATTAACTTACCCATAAGAAATAGTAATTTGTTCTCCCTTTTTTATAGAAGCTATTGCCCTTGTTACTATCGAGGATCCATGGTGGAAATATTGAGCATTGGCCACACACGAATGGTTGTACAAACTAGTAAAAGCATATAAAGCATGTCCAAGTTCCTTAGAGTTAATAATGTTAATATTAAACATTTTTGAAATTAAAAATGAAATAAACGTAGTAATCAAGAAAGTTTTAAAAAGCAGTTTCTTTAAATTCAGGTCATCTTCATCTGTATTGTATTTTGAGGCGAATTCTTGATTTTCTTTAAGGACGTGATAAGCTATTGATGCAATAGTTGCTGTCGTATATAGTGTCATGGAACCACACTCTTTGTCATGCGTTTGTAATTTTATAATTTCTTTAAAGGAGTCAGATCTGTGAATATCATCAGGTAACTCGGCTTTTGTTTTTTTAGAATCATCCATACCTACAAAAATTGTTTTTATATTACTCTCTATTGTTATTGATTTCAATTCTGCAAATTAAATTTTATAGACAAAGGACCCCGCACTTTTTTTAAGCAAAGTGGCGACCTGTCAAATTTTCTAAAACTCTGGTATGTTTTTGTAGTCAACTATACTCGGACAAAATATTGAAGAAGGTGATTCCTCCCTGTTCACGTACAACAATAATACTATACCAGAGCATAATGAATGGAATCACGCGCTTTAAGCTGCAGAAGTTATCGGAATCACGTGCCAACTAGTCATAAATGCATGTTTATTGCCAAAATGAATTACACCAGTGGCGTATAAAAACTATTGGCAAATTAAATGCGGTAATAGTAAATAATATTAGATGAAAGTAGGTTGGTTATCTATTTTTGTAGTAATAATAATTTATGTTTATAATATTGTTTTGTTTATTGTTAAAATATGTAAATAATATGCCAGTGGCGTAGAAACACTATTGAAAAGTTAAATGGGGTATTATACTAGAATAAAATATTGAAGAAGGTGCGCCTTAAAACTGCAAAAGGTATCGTTATCATATCAAAATGCACTCTTCCAGTGTCGCAGAAATACTATATTGGCAAATTAAATGGGTATTTGTGAATATTACTAGATGAAAGTAGGTTGGTTATCTATTTTTGTTATAATAATTCATCTATGTTTATAATAGTATTTTGTTTATTATAAAAATATGTAAATTAAGCTTGGTATCACTTACTTGAATTCTAAATCTATGAAGTTTCGTAATCCATTGATTCTGATGCAGAACTATCACTGGAATCGTCTTTATCGTCGGAACTTAAAGTTATGACTAAAGGTTCAACTACCGTTTCGATCATACCGTCCAAGCGCCACATATTATTTTCTTCCTTAATTACATGGGAAATAGCATTCTGCCAATCTTCAGGTTTTGTACGTTCTATACCGGTTTTTAATAAACTTTGAACGTCTGCTATTTTAAAAGTTTTATTTTCTAGAGCTACAAACCCTTTCACTTGCGCCCAAATTAGTTCAATAGGATTGAATTCGCAGTGATAAGGAAGTCTTAGTACCGTAATACCACGATCACGAGCCATTGTGTCGACAACATATTGAATATATTTATGGCGGTGTTCCTTTATTAGGTCCATTAATTCCACTTTAAGCATCTCCTCAGTAAATGTTATTGCTTTATCCCGCAGCCAGGTTTGCATATCTGCTTTCCTACTGGACATTATCGGAATGCGTTCAACTCGTCGACTGTGATAAGAATCGTTATCTAGTACAATAACTGAATTTCGTTCTACACGCTGTAATACTTCAGTAAACCATTTTTCAAAGCATTCCGCATTCATGTCCTCGTGGTAGTCTCCTGTTTTTTCGATATAAACACAAGAGCGCTATTTTCCAAAAATCCACTGTCACTTCCGATATGGGTAACAATTAGGAGCTGTCCTTTACCTGATGGTGCTTTCAAACCTGTAGATAATCCCTCTATAAAAGCTTGGCGATGACTAGTTACAGAAGTATCTTGCCATATCTTAGATACCGTGTGTCCAGCATTCACCCACGTTTCATCGAGATAGTATATCTTTTTTTTAGCGGCTCTAAACTCTTTAATATTTCGTAAATAACTCTAACGGACACTATATCTGACCTCTCAATTAAAATTGATTTTCTACACCGTTTGACAAAACGAAATTTTTGGCCCTATAAAATTTTTCGTGGTTTCAGGGCTCATTAATAGAATTTCTTCGTTTTCTCTTAATTTCGTAAGAACAACTTTAAGTGTTGGGGCTTTGTTTAAAAAAAAAAAAAGAATGTACAGTTCTTCGAATGATTTGTTTTTGGTTATCGTCCAATTTCAACAATTTTCGACGACGCGTATGCGTTTTAGGGGCTTCTAAGGAGCCTTTTTTTGTCTTTTCGCGTTCAATACGTTCAATTGTTGAAACAGATACTTCAGTTAAAAAAGAACTGCGGTTTACAGCTTTATTTGTAGGAAGTGTCTGTTTCAGCCCATCATACACTTTCCATATAATGTTCTTTTCATCCTTTGATAAGGGCTTTCGCCGACGTAATTGCATTTCACTTGGACCCGCCTATGAATCCATTACTATTGTAACAATATAATTCTACTATTAAATTGTTTTTATTAAATTTATAAAGACACCAATATTTTACTATTTAATAAACTTTTAAAGTACCTACCTAATATACTACACAATAAATATAATTCCTCGAATATGCACTACCACTACCAAATTGTAAGGCACAAACATGAACACCTATTCGTATATCAGAAAAGAGCAATTATATAAAAAAGTGTCTATAAAATATAAAATAATTATCGTAAATAGATAACGCGATACAAATAACTTCGTCGAAAGTTAGTTTTCAACTGTCTTTGTGCCTGTGCCGACAATATTCAACCTGTAACCCGTTTGTCGTTTATTTACTTGAAACACATTTTAAAACCATTAAACACAGATAACGAAGTCATTAGGGAATAAATATATTCATTTCTTGAAAACTATCAAAAATGTATATTTAACGCATCATCTTTGTTTAAATAAAGATGTTGACAAACAAATTTAATAAACAAATACCTAATAAATAATAAATAATTATTTGGTATTTAATACGCCGCCTATGCTAACTCTGTCGGAATTTTCATTCATAGACAACAGTGTTGATCATGCATATGACTCACCTTCTCCAATATTTTGTCCGAGTATAGTAACCAAAAGTGTCAATGGGCCCAACTCAATCCTATGACTAGTTTTCGATATACGGGGTGCTAAAGTTGAAAATTGTCCAGTTTTTGGGAATTTTTATTTGCAAACTTACGAGCTAGATTGAATTTCTGATGCATACACACGTTTACTATGAGTTTTAGTAACACATTAGTACATACGTACAATTAAAAAAATGTATAATTAGAGGGTGATTCACAAATGTATGACGGTAATTTTTTTGTAAAATCACACTAATTCTACTGTGCGGTCAGACGGACAAACGGACAAATACAAGGACAACCCTGTTTTTTCTAGCGCTTTTTCAGGGAAACGATACATAACTAACAACAGACAAAATTACTAAGAGGAAAGTTCCATTTCCGAGGCCAACTGAACAATCACAACTGCCATATTATATTTTACGGGAATAAGGAGATGACACCTTAAATATAACAGACGAGAAACATTCTGCATTAGTGATTGCGGGACGATGTGACGCCCATATTTCTCCTGCCCAGGTTGGAGGACAGGGGCGAAAATATCGACAATCGCACATAATATGTAGATGTAAAACTGTATAAATGTAAATATTGTAAATAAAAGTTATTCATTCATTCGTACTGTGCGTTCAGAGAAGCATATTTTCAAAAAGTACTACTCAATATGGTATTTTGACGACAAAATATTGCACAGTACACATTTCTTATACAGGGTGTTTTATAGAGAGAACTACAACAAAATTATTTTTTTTAACGATTAATTCAAAACCCTGTACGTATGAGTTGAATTTTGGGAAAGGTAATGTCACTAAAATATATCTACCTTCAAGCTTCAAAATATACAAGGTGATTTATTTGTTGAAAGGTATTCTATATTAGGAAAAGTGCAAAAACAACGAAATTATTAACGGGTAGAGATCCGTTAACAATTTCGAGGTTGACACCCTAATGTAATTGTTGGTCTGATGTTCATAAAAAAGACATTTTAAAATATTTACTGTTTTAGGGTGATTCACGAATAAATCATAATATATTTTTGCAAACACTCAATAATTGTTCAGATTTGAAAATTTTTCTTTATATTCACCTAATAAATTAACATCCTGTATACGAAATTAATTATTTTATTTATTTAAAATGTTTAATTTCATACAGCGTTCCAATTTCGTATCTAGTTCGATGTGTAAATTATAATAATAAAAATGCTGACTTAAGCAAAAATAAACTATTTACAAAACATTGAACGAGGTCGAAATTGGAATAATATGTTTTGAATTTGTATTTAAATTATTAAATAATTGTAATTGTTATTTTTTATTGTTATTGTTTCTGATATTATAAATGTAGATACAAATAAGAAATAAAGAGATTGACTAAGAACATGTGGTAGTTTACTTTACAAAATTATCTCTGAAATGAGATTCATGAAAACCATCTTGTGGTATTAATTACAACAATTATCTTTGAAACCTATTCATGGTCCTTCGAGCAAAAGTTTAAAAATCTTGAAAAAACCTATGGAAGAAGCAAACTTCAACATGAAGAAAAACAAGAAAATGAAGTCTTTCTGCCAACCTCAATAACAAGTTTGACCAAATCCAAGAAGCAACCGCTTTAAAAACAAATCGAAGCTCGTATCAAGCGAATTTGATAACTATACGACCAAGGGACTTCCGTTCGATTGAAGTTCTACACACCCAAGAAGCAACCGCTTTAAAAACAAATCGAAGCTCGTATCAAGCGAATTCGACAACTATACGACCAAGGGACTTCCGTTCGATTGAAGTTCTACTTATCCAAGAAGCACCAATGCTTTAATAACAAATCGAAGCTCGTATCAAGCGAATTCGACAACTATACAACCAAGGGACTTCCGCCTGCTTGAAGTTCTACATACTCAAACCCAAGAAGCACCAATGCTTTAAAAACAAATCGAAGCTCGTATCAAGCGAAGTCGACATCTATACAACCAGGGGATTTCCGCCCGCTTGAAGTTCTACATACTCAAACCCAAGAAGCACCAATGCTTTAAAAACAAATCGAAGCTCGTATCAAGCGAATTCGACAAATATACAACCAAGGGACTTCCGCCTGCTTGAAGTTCTACATACTCAAACCCAAGAAGCATCAATGCTTTAAAAACAAATCGAAGCTCGTATCAAGCGAATTCGACAAATATACAACCAAGGGACTTCCGCCCGCTTGAAGTTCTACATACTCAAACCCAAGAAGCACCAATGCTTTAAAAACAAATCGAAG